TTTGGGGGTCCTGGGTGGGTTTTGCGGGGACGTTTGCAGCAGTTTTTGTGGTCTCTAGGGGTTTATCAGGTTCCAGACGGCTTTGAGGCTCCCTTAGAGGGACTGGGGGATCCCTGAATGGGCTTGGGGTATCCCAGGTGGCTTTTGCGGGTCACTAAAGGGTTTAGGGGGCCCGAGGGGGGGGATAAGGTGTCCTCAGCGAGTTGGGGGGTCCTTGAGGAGGTTTCGATGGGTCCTGGAGTGGATTTCTGAGGGGATTTTGGGGGTTTTGAGGGGATTTTGTGGAGTCCTCTAAAGCCCAGCAGTGGGTTTGGGGGGTCCCCCAGCCCCCAGGGGAGGGGTCCTAGGCATGCCCCCAAAAATCCAGGGGGGGACATATACTACATCTGGGTAAGGGGATCCCAGTGCCCCCAGTATATCCCAATAACCTCCCAGTGACCCTCAGTATAGCCCAGTGACCATCCAGTGTATCCAAGTGAGCAGCCAGTAATCCCCAGTATGGCCCGGTAACCCCTTAGTGACCACCCAATGTATCCCGGGGAGCACCCAGTTACCCCCAGTATGGCCCGGTAACCTCTCAGTGTCCCCTCCTTGTGTCTTGGTAATCCCCCAGTAACTCCCCAGTTCTCTGCCAGTGTCCCCCAGTGTGCCCCAGTTCACCTCTGGTCCCTCCCAGAGCCTTCCCAGTGTCCCTCAGTAACCCCCCAGTCCCTCCCAGTGCCCCCTGGTTCCCCCCAGTGTGTCCCAGTATCCCCCAGTAATCACCCAGTGCCCCACAAAGCCCCCCAACTGTCCCCAGTGTGTCCCCAGATGCCCTTGGCCTTTCTGTGAGCGTGGGGGGAAGGAGGGGTGTTTTTGGGGTGAGAGGGTCCAGGGGGCTCCTGGGGTGAGATGGAGGGTTGGGGACATCAGGGATGGGGTTTGGGGACAGTGGGGAGGGGTTTGTGGACAGTGGAATTGGGGGTGTCTGGGGGTGGAATTGGGGCCCTGGGGAGGAGCTGGGAACATTGGAAACACCAGGGGGGTCTCAGGGTGTTAAGGGGAAAATTGGGGACACCAAGAAAGTCTTGGGGAAACCAGGGGGGTCTTAGGACTCAGCTGTTCATGGTGGAGCTCCTCTTCTTCCCCCTCAGGCCCCTTTAACTCTCCTAAATGTCCCTTAGCCTCCATCTTCCCTTTAATCCCCTCCCCCCACAGATCACTTTGATCCCCCCCAGACCCATTTTAATTCCCCTAAATGCACCCAGAGCACCCCAAAACCCCCTAAATTCCCATCCAATTGCCCCAGATCCCCCCAGATCTCCTCCAGCCCCCCCCCCCCCAAATCCCTCCTAACACCCCCAAAGAGGGATCACCCAGCACCCTGGGACAGGAACACAGTGGGCTGTACTGGGGGCACTGGGCTGTACTGGGAGGGCACTGGGGGGGGGCTCAGGTGTCCCAGGACAACGTGGCCCAGCTCCAGGAGAGATCTGGGGAGCAGTGAGGAGGTACTGGTCTGTCATGGTCTGTACTGGTCTGTCCTGGTCTGTCCTGGTTTGTACTCCCAATCCCCAAAGCCCCTCCCCAGCTCCCCCAGGACCCTCCGGGACCCCAAAGCCCCCCAGACTCCCCTCAGGTCCCTGACTTGGTCCTGCTGCCCCTTGAGCATCTGCAGCTGCTGCAGAACCAGGCAGTTCATCAGCAAATGTGCAGGTGACCCCAAGCTGGGGGTGTGTTGATGTGCTGGAAGGCAGGAGGGCTCTGCAGAGGGACCTGGCCCAGCTGGATCCATGGGCTGATTGCAAGGGGATGAGGTTCCAGCAGGCCAAGGGCCGGGTCCTGCCCTTTGGGCACAAGAAGCCCCGTCAGCCCCCCGGGCTGGGGCCAGAGTGTCTGGAGAGCAGGCAGGCAGAAAGGGAGCTGGGAGTGGGGATGGACAGGAAGCTGAAGAGGAGGCAGAGTGTGGCCAGGTGGCCAAGAGGGCCAATGGCTGGTGGCCTGGCTCAGTGATAGTGTGTCAGCAGGAGCAGGGAAGTGCTTGTTGGGCTGGAGTGAGCGCTGGTGAGGCCACCCCTGGAGTGCTGTGTCCAGCTCTGGGCCCCTGAGTTGAGGAAGGCCCTGGAGGGGCTGGAGCAGGTGCAGAGAAGAGCAGCGAGGCTGGGGAAGGGAGTGGAGCACAAGTGGTGTGAGGAGAGGCTGAGGGAGCTGGGGGTGTTGAGGCTGGAGAAGAGGAGGCTCAGGGGAGACCTCCTGACTCTCTGCAAGTCCCTGCCAGGAGGTTGGAGCCAGGTGGGGGTGGGGCTGTTGTGCCAGGAAGCAGCAGTAGGACAAGAGGGCTGGGTCTTGAGCTGTGCCAGGGGAGGTTTAGGTTGGATATTGGGAAGCAAGTTTTTCCCCAGAGAGTAATCAGGCCTTGGAATGCGGTGGGCAGGGAGGGGGTGGAGTCAGCGTCCCTGGAGGTGTTGAAGGTGAGAGTGGATGTGGCCTCAGTGCCATGGTCTGGGAAGCACGGCGGGGTTGGATCAAGGGTTGGACTTGATGATCTCGGAGATCTTTTCCAACGTGGCTGATTCTGTGATTCTCTGATTCCCATTCCTATGGCAGCACATGCTTGAGGCTCTATCCCCAGGGTGATAGAGATGTCTGTCCATATCTATCTCCAAGGTTAGTCTGTAAATGTGTGGTGTTAGAAAAGCAGGCTGAGTTGTGGGCTGGTTGTAGAAGGAGAAAGAAGCCCAGAGGGCAGTGCAAGCAGGCAGCCCTGAGCTTGCACCTGATGTCCCCTCCCTGCAGGTTCCTGTCCTTGAGCCCAGGCCCTGAGGTGAGGCTGAGAAGTGGCGCGGAGGTGAGCCCAGAGCTGTCCCTGAGGTGAGGCTGAGAATAAGTGCAAGGCAGAGGTGCTGCTGAGGAAGGAGAGCCCTGTGGTGGGGAAGAACAGAAGCTGTGAATGCCCATCCCCGAGCAGGTGCTGTGTCCATCCCCTGTGTGCCAGGTGAGCTGGGGCTTTGCTGCAGAGCTGCGGGCGCTGATTTGAGCGTCTCCAAGTGCTGAGATGGTGGGCACCCAGGAACACAAACTGTGCCTGGCCACGGAGCCTGCAAGGAGGAGCAGAGACAGCCCTGGCAGTGTGGGGGGCCAGGTTGTCCCTGTGCCTTCCCCTGCAGGCCCTGTCTGTCCCTGCTGGGCCCCTGTCCATCCCCATCAGGTCCCTGCCCGTCCCCCCGGGCTGAGCTCCCCCCAGGAAGTGCCGTGGAGCTGAAGCTGCTGCCATCCCCCCCTGCAGCCGCTGCCCCAGCCAAGGGAGCAGCAAAGGCAGGGCCAGGAGCAGAGGCAGCAGCAGGGGAGCCCTGGGGGGGCCGGGAAGCTCTTGTGTGGGTCAGGAAAGAGGCGCTGGGCACGAGGCCGGGGCTGTGCTGAGCAGGCCCAGCCCTCACATCCCCCCAGCCAACGCCGGCTGCCCGGGGGGCTTGGGAGGGACCCCCAGCCCGTGTGCCCCACACTGAGCTGGCAGAGAGAGAGCCAAGGGACAGGGCCACGGGCAGGGCCCCGGGTGAGGGACAGGCAGGGCCATTGCAGGGCCACGGTGAGGGCACAGCCTGTGGCAGCAGAGCTGCCCAGGGCCGGGGGCAGCCGGGGGTGTTGGTACCAGGCAGTGCTGGGGCCGAGCAGAGCACGAGGCCTCTTGCAGACCCCTGGAGCAGCCTCCCACTTGCCAGCCCTGCCCTGGTGGGGTGACACTGTCCCCTCCCTACAGGACACTCCCCCGAAATCTTTGTGGGGGCCTTTTGTGTCTATTCCTGGTTGCTGATTCCTGCTGGGGACCTGAGGGAGCCTCTGCAATCCCATCCATGGGGCACAATCTCCTCTCCAGAGCTTGACTCACTGCAGACTGTGCAGGGAAATCTGTGCTGGCAGCCCCAGTATGTCACGATCCCCCGCTCCCCTCCAGGATATTTGGGATGAGTTCCACCTTCCCGGGCATCCATGGGATGGGGGGCGATTGTTCTCCTGCTGTTGCTGTTGCTGCTCCGCCCCTGTCCCTGCCCTTCCTGCCGCTGTCGGGTGAGCGGAGCGGCCACGATGGGAAAGGGGCGAGAGAAGCGAAAAGAGCGGGTGGGACCCCCAAAGGGAGCGTGAGGGGCGGTGGGTCACCCCCAAAGGGAGCTGGGGGGAGCTGGGGTTTGGGGGGCGGGTGGGAAAGGGGTGGCAGAGGGGGGCTACAGGGAGGGAGAGGGGGATAATCTTCATATTTTGGAGTATTTTTTAGCTGAATCTCAACTTTTTGCAGTTTTGGGTGGTGAGGGTTTTCTTGCTATTTCTGAGGGGGTTTTACCTGAATCTTGTTGGTGGCTTGAGTTTTTCTGGGCTGAATCTTGGAGTTTTGGAGGTTTCTATGGACACAGGATGCCCGGTGAGTTCTAGAGATGGACTTGGGCAGGAGGAACCCCCAAGCCAACGCGCTCAGCCCTTTTTTTCCCCCCATCAGGATTTGTCCTTCCCAAAGCTTGGGCAGATGGAGGAGGAGGCTGCGAGGAAGAGGAAGATGCCTTGGTCCCCCCAGGCAGGTGAGGAGGAAGTCAGTGTCCCTTTGGGCGGGTGTTGTGCTGGCTCTGTCAGCCGAGCATGGCCCCGGCTGCAGGACAACCCCGCTGGCGCCGCCGTCCTGCCGGGGTCGGAGTTGGGGGGATGTCCTTGGCCTTCCCTGTGGGCCGGAGGCAAATCCCCTGCCTGTCCTTCTTGCTTCCTGCCCCAGGCCCCGAGGTGAGGACGGAGAGCCCGGAGGACAAATCCCCCCGTGAGACCCTGGTGGGAGAGGCCGTTTTGAAGGGCTCCCCGGCGCAGGAAGGCAGCGGGGAGGAAACGGGCCGGAGATCCCCCCGCAGGAGGGGCTCCAAAGCCATCCCAGGGTGCTCTGAGGAGGAAAGAGCCAGCCTGTGCCGGGAAGGCGGCTGGAGCTTGAGCGGGAGCTCTGACCAGGTGGTCCCTGAGCAGCCTCCCAGCAGGGGGAAGCCCTTCAGGTGCTTGGAATGTGGGAAGAGCTTCAGCAGGAGCACCACCCTCCTCACTCACCAGCACATCCACACTGGAGAACGGCCCTACCCGTGTGGGGAATGTGGGAAGAGCTTCAGGCAAAGCTCCAAGCTGATCCGACACCAGCGCATCCACAGTGGGGAATGGCCCTACACGTGTGGGGAATGTGGGAAGGGCTTCAGTGACAGCTCCAACCTCTGCACCCACCAGCGCATCCACACTGGGGAACGTCCCTACACGTGTGGGGAATGTGGGAAGAGCTTCAACTGCAACTCCAACCTCCTCACCCACCAGCGCATCCACACTGGGGAACGTCCCTACACGTGTGGGGAATGTGGGAAGAGTTTCAGACACAGCTCCACCCTCCACTCCCACCAGCACATCCACACTGAGGAACTGCCCTACACATGTGGGGAATGTGGGAAGAGCTTCAACTGCAGCTCCAGCCTCCTCAGCCACCAGCGCATCCACACTGGGGAGCGGCCCTACACGTGTGGGGAATGTGGAAAGAGCTTCAGTGACAGCTCCAATCTTCACGCCCATCAACGCATCCACACCAGGGAACGGCCCTACACATGTGGGAAATGTGGGAAGAGGTTTCAGACCAGCTCACATCTCCTCAGGCATGAGCGGACGCACACGGATGAGAGGCCCTTCCGCTGCACCGACTGCGGGAAGGGCTTCAAGCAGAATGCTCACCTCGTCACCCACCAGCGCATCCACACCAACGGACCCACCAGTAAGGGAAGCCCTGTGAGTGCCCCAACTGCAGGAAGAGCTTCGGCTGTATGACTGACATGCAGAGAAGTTTTCAAAAGGTCTTCACGATTTTGAGTATCTGCACTCCAACATCAGTTTATTCTTTTGAATATGTGTAAGTTTAACCTCATTTTAGTCTGAAAGCCAAATTCACCACTACCCCATTCCCTGATAACCGTGGGCTGATTCTGACAAGTGAGGCACAAATTACCCACTGCCCAGCAAAAACCAGTGGGGCCAGCCAGTGGTCTCTGCCCTGGCAGCCCAGTTTCCCCAGTCTCATCTCAAAATGACCAGTTACACTGAAGCAAAGAGCACTGGAACCAGTGCAACAAGCCCCAGTCTGACTTTCACACCTGCCCACGTGTCCTGTTTCTGCTGCTCTACAGACTTCCCTGTTTAAAATACAATGGGAAAATGAACAGGTTTTGGGGTTGTTTTAGTTTTGGGTTCGGGTGGTTTTTTCCCCCCACTGTTCTCATTAACCTCATTTCAAATCTATTTCGGTGTTTGAAGATGAATTAAAATTTTGAATGATTTTTAATGTTAATGCCTTGACCAAAGTATCAAAACATGAAAAATAAAAAAAAAAAAACAACAGAAAGCTGTCCATTATTGTCACAATCAAACACTCAGAAGTACTAACATAAGCACAGTGAAAACCCCATAAATAAGACCATTAAAATAATTTTAATATTTATGTATTATTATATTTTTACTAAGCTTAACATAAGGAAATTTAATTCCTGACATCAGCTTTCCCCACCTCTCAAAAAGGTAATTTAGTTACATCTGAGTCACCCTTGAAAGGCTCTTTCCAGTTGGGTTGGCCTCTGCCTTAGACACTCATGAGATCTGCCAAATCCAGTTTTAAGGGCAAATTTCCCCACCAGGTTCAACTGCATTGGTTGTACCAAAAACTTTGCAAGTAACCCCGCAACTTTCATCTTAAACTCTTCTCTCAACCTTGTAAAATAATTAGCAGTAAACAGACCTGGTAATGTGTTCTAATTAAGAACACATTCTTGTTCTCAGAGTTATTCATACACCAAAAAGATGCCACAGGAACGGCCAAAATATCAGTAGCAACTTCTACACTTTGGAAATCTCCATTTGGTTTAAAAGATTTCACAGTGGTTGTTTCCTTAGGAATTCAGGCACATTTTACTAACAAGTTTCAATAAAGTTACAAGAACATCTTCCTCCACTAAGACACAGGCAGTCATCCTAACCTGAGGTAGGCACTGAAAAGCCCAATTTTTTATTTAGCTGTCACGAGTCTTTCATTCCTTCTGCCACATCAATTAGGCATCAGCCCATTTTTCAAGCTGCTGTTACCTGCCAGCTCCTGGTTTGGTTTCCAAGCCCAGTATTTTGGCCACGATAAAATCAGGGACCTGGGCAGTCCTGTCAGAATGACAAAGAGCACTGACCCTCCCTGCCAAGGGAGACAAACCATTCCCAACCTCGACCAAAGGGTCAAGGCAACGATTCTGAAACAAAATTTACAAAGCTTTTCTCTTCAGTTTTTTGCTGCAATTCTCTGTTGCTCTATGAAAAGACCACAGCAGTGAAAGACAAGGCCTGATGGCCAAACCCAGGGCTTCAGCCACTTGAGGTCTATTGAAACCTTCTGTTCCTCCAACACAGCTTTCCTTCTGTGCATCTGAGGAGGTACCAAGGGAAGAGGAGAATTTAAAGGATTAATTTTTATGTATTTGAGGCTGTGTTTTAATATAAGTAGATTGTGAGAGATCACAAGGGAAGCAGTTTGCTCATACATAACTTTTATGGCCGATTTCACACAGTCCAAATTCACAGCAAAGAGGAAGTTCCTGAGTTGTTTCAGGGTTTTCGGTGTTTATACATTTATTTATTTATTTTTTATATTTAAGGCGTAGGAATTCAAATTTATATTTGGGTACCATTTTATTCAAGCATTTATTTTATTTAAACATTTTTTATACCTTTATTTATATGGTTTTTTAATTTATTTAAGGCGTAGGAATTCGAATTTATATTTGGATACCATTTTATTTAAACATTTATTTTATTGAAACATTTATTTTATTGAAACATTTATTTAAACATTTTTTACATATTTATATTTTTTAATATATTTAAGGCAAAGGAATTTGAATTTATATTTAAGTACCATTTTATTTAAACATTTTTTTTATTTAAACATTTTTTATATTTTTATTTATATTTTTTTAATATATTTAAGGTGTAGGAATTTGAATTTTTATTTGGATACAATTTTATTTAAACATTTATTTTATTTAAACATTTATTTTATTATACATTTTTTACGTATTTATATTTATATATATATATGTAAGGTATAGGAATTCAAATTTATATTTGGGTACCATTTTATTTAAATATTTATTTTATTTAAACATTTATTTTATTTAAACATTTTTTACATATTTATATTTTACCCCCATCAGATGTTCTGTAAGCACAGCAGTCAAAGCACAACTCATGTAGGTTTGGGTATTTTTAGCTAAGGCTGTTTGCCAGGTTTCTCACATTTAGAGAGGAATTCCCGGTAAGATGTGACTTTATTCACAGATGCACTCTTTTTTGGGTGTTAGTTTGAAATAATAAACTTTATTGCATTAAGCAAAGTATGTCAACTTCAATAAAGCTCCTGGTGTTTTCAAGTATTTTCCCTCTTCTCTTAAACAAATGGAAAATAAAAATCGGTGCTTCAACTAAACATTATCTGTGCTCACCAGAGAGGGCAATACTGGATCTTTCAGGATCCACACATTTGGATGCTTTTGCAATTGGTGTTTGAAGCAACTTCTTTTGTAGACAACTGTTTCACCAAGTAAATTAAGGCTTTCACATTCAGCCCCTCCCTTTAGGTAAGGATTACAAACCAGAAAAGGAGGGAGGAATTACTCGGTGTGTAACTGAAAGGCCAAAGTCCTACCCAAGAAACCAGATGTGACAACAGCTCATTTACAACCCAGTGAGAAAACCAACAAAAATGCACACAGAAAGATTCAGGAGTCATGTGAAGGTGAATATAAAAATGGAACATGAGTCACATGTTTTAGAGATTTGAGCAGATGACTGGGGGCTGGAAAGGCGTCAGTGGATGGCACAGGAAGAGTTTGGAGGAAGAGCTGGAAGGAGAAACCTGGCAAGAAATCTGCTGTTCTACACAGACCTGCAGTGGGAAAAACAGTTTAAGGCTTCTGAAGGAACAAAGTAATAAAACTCACAGAGCCCAGGAGGAGAAGAGATTCAATACTTGCCAAAAAGCATCAAAACCAAGCTCATGGACACACATTAAAAACTGAACTCCTCCAATTCATGAATTCCACTTTTTTGCTTCTGGACTGAACTCGGTGATAAAACTGGTCCAAAGTCACAAAATGTGCCAGGGACAACAAAAGGTCAAGACCAAATTCCTTTTAGTTAAAGAAAACTGGAAAAGATTCTTCTCCCGTATTCATCCAGTAGAGATGAATAATTTTTTAATTATTAATTTTAATTTTATTTTTTCTACTCAGGCCTGCCAATGTTGTGCTTTTTTGACTATATGAGGAATGATCTGAAGTCTATCAGCTCACAGGTTAATTTAAAAAGAAATAAAACCAAACAAGCAGAAAACCATCCTGGCTTTACAGATCATTTTGTGCAAAGCCAGACCTTTGTGAAGGTCTTTTTTTTAAAAGCTAAAAAGTAAATGTTATTAAGGAAGAACAACTTACCAAGCCCTTCAACCAAGAGCAGCTATTTTGCTTACAGTGAGCAAATCAATTCCTCCACACATCTGCAGGGAAAATGGGATATTAAACCACTTGAATTAAAATTAAAAATAATAAAGAAATCCTAAAAAATTAAAATTAAAAAGAATAAAGAAATCCTAATAATTTAAAATAAAAAAGAGTAAAGAAATCTTAATAAATTAAAATTAAAAAGAATAAAGAAATCCTAATAATTTAAAATTAAAAATAATAAAGAAATCCTAAGGACCAAGCATTAACCTGTGAGTATTACACAAGTCCCATCCCTGAATGAAAAAACAACCAAGCATTACAGATGACAGCATATGCTACAAAAGACATTTTATAAAAAGCTTTCAAGTATCACCAGGGAATGTGTTATCAAAGAACCTGTGCAAACCACCCAAAAAATTCAGGCCCAGTCCTGTACACAAATCTCTTGAGAAATTACCACAATTTATATAAATATATAAAATATATAAAATAATATATAAGATATGATACATATAAATATATAAAAAATGTTTAAATAAAATAAATGTTTAAATAAAAACATTCGTTGCTAAATTAAGAGGTATTAGAATATAAATTCGAATTCCTGCACCTTAAATATAAAAATATAAAAAATATAAAAAATATAAATATAAAAATAAATGTAAAATAAAATATAAATATAAAATAAATTTATAATATAAAAAATAAATATATAAAAATGTTTAAATAAAATAAATGTTTAAATAAAATGGTGTCCAAATATAGATTTGAATTCCTACGCCTTAAATATAAAAAAGAATATAAATAAATATATAAACACCTAAAACAACTCAAGAACTTCCTTTTTACTGTGAATTTGGACTGTGTGAAATTGGCCATAAAAGTTTTGTATGAGCAAACTGTTTCCCTTGTGATCTCTCAGAATCTACTTATATTAAAACACAGCCTCAAATACATAAAAATTAATCCTTTAAATTCTCCTCTTCCATTGGTACCTACTCAGATGCACAGAAGGAAAGCTGTGATGAACAGAACTGCCATTTCTTGGTTGGTGTAATTTATTTGAAATTATTATGCAGAAAGATCCCTTTAAAAAGGGAAAATTACAAAAAATTATATTAGTAAAGTGGCATAAACGTGGAGAATATACAAAGGAATGTTAGAGATTTAAACATAAAATATAAATATATGTAAATATACATATGTATGTATGTAAATATACAAAGGAATTTAGAGGTTTAAACACCACCAAGATGTTGGTAACACATTACATTTCGTTCACACAAGTTATTTTCCCACTATTACAAAATATACCACTGTATTTTTGTGCTTTCCAATTTTAACATCCAAAAAACAATCAGTACCAAACTACAGAATCAATCACAAAAGCTGGAGTTTATGCCCAGAGCCACAAACCACAGAGCTTGGACATACAACTCTTGGCTGAAAAAGAATTAACCTTTCAGGTCAACATCTATATTTCCTATATTTAATAAACATCAAAGTCTTTTAATCAGAATACTTGCAGTAATTATTGTAGCCCACATCATTAAAAAAAAATCCATCTCTCTCTAAAAATAAACATGACATTACTTTTTTAAGGTAGTCTAAAATGGCGGTCTGAAAAATAAAAGCTAGACACAATCCCAGTATGGGGAAACTGGAATAGTTTATTGAACACAAAAACACTATTTTAAAGGCATCTGGGGCTGCATGTTAATGAAGGGGACAACCTATGTTAATTGGGGAGTTACACAAGTTTTTACCGCAATTTCCAAATAGTTAATTTTTCTTCTAGTAGGATTACATGGGGGATAGAGGGATTACAAGGGTTTAGACATGGTTTGATACAATCATCTCGAAAGTCCTTTCTGATTTCTGCTGGAGCCAGGCTTGATCCAAACGGTAGAACTTTAACAGGTCTTGTGAGAAGGGTCCAGCTCCTTCAGATCACGAGGTTTTTGTCAGCCTTGTTTTATTTTGCTGAAAGCTGGGTTTAGGTTCCCACAGTCTAATAGCTGTGGCTTTTATTGACTTCAAAATTACAGCTGCTGAGGTCCACCTAACATAGAGATCAAGCTGCCATGTGCTGGATAAACACATATTGCTCTTCCAAGAAAAGGCAGCTCCAAAGAGCTCAGAAAAGTAAACAAGGGACAGGTAAAACTGCCTTTATTGTAATACCTGTTCAGCACAAACAGCATCAGGGCAATCCAGGAAAGGTGCAGACCATTATGACTGAAGTGCTCAATTTTGTATTTAGCATGGAACATGCAGGTCAGCCAAGATCTGCTCCTGACACTGCAGGGTTTAATTTTAATCTTTAATTTTGCTATTTTTTGAAGAGCAGGCCAGTTAAAAGTTGCAGCTTTAGACATTTCAGGATTTAACATTAGGAACACAAGTCTTGGGTCTCACAGGCTCAGTCCCCTCATTATCCTCAGACTGGTCTTGCCTTCATTGTAACAGACTGTGCAATGTCTGTGGTTTTGACCCTCTACACTGAAAATTCCCATGGGATTTCAGATGTGCTCCGTTGTTCTTCAGGTCTGAGATCATTTCTAAACACCAACTCTCAGTTCTCCCAGATCCCATCAGACAGTTACACAACCCAGTTCCAGAACACACTGTCACACATTTGCACATCAGCCCTGTTTGCTGCAGGACATCCACGATCATGGACATGTCCATTCTCTGTAAATATTATCTGAATTCTGCCTTGCACATCAGCAGTGACTCACTGCAGGTAAAGGTTTAGTACAACCTGGAGAGACATTTTTATAAAGCTTTGCAAAATTGACCCACGATTTTTTACATGAACGGGCTGAAGGCTTCATCCAAGCCAAAGAAAACAGCTGCACTCAGGCAGGGGTTCATGACTGTATTCTTTAATTATCACCATCAATTATGTAATTTTAAAAAGCAAATTATCAAGAGTGTTTTTGAGATTCCTGACACAGGTGTCTTCACGAAGACACCTTGTGCTTTGAGGTCCTGAGCACGCACTGAGGTACCTGAGCATGGGAAGCTGCAAAAAGGAACCAGTTCAGGGAGGCAAACGAGCTCTCCAACTTTGAATTACACAGTGGGGAAAACCTGACTCAAAGGAAACGTGTTCCTCTGGCTCTAAATGCAGAATCTTAGAGTGTAAAAACAAATTATAAACATTAGAAAGCTGATTTGTTTGTACTGCAAGGAGGAGAGCAAGATGTCTCGTAACGCTTTAGGCTTTAGAGTCAAATTTACACCAAAAAGAGAAGTTTTAAGTTTATTGTAGAAACAATTGATTGGAAAGGAAAAGCTTATGAGTGTCCCTAGCTAATGAATGAATACCTTGAACTAAGGAAAAGCACTTCTGAAGTGTGGTTAGACAATGTCCTTAGGAGATGGCAATTCTCAGAGCACAGCCTGGCTTTACTACGTGTCACCACGGTCACTGCAGGTTGTTAAAGTTGTATGTGAGTGACCATAGAAATCTTCAAAGGTGCAGGAGACACAAACATTGCTGTAGTCAGTACTTACTAACAGTTTTCAAATGCACTGAGCTTGAAAGAAAATAAAGTCAACAAGGTAAAACACTGCAGCTTAAATGTTTAATGCTTATTTTGAAGAAAATTATTTCCAACATAATTTAAAAAACAAACAAAAAAAAGGGACATAAAAACAAACAAAAAACCACAACACAGTATAACATACCTGGCACGAAGAGCACAGAATTTTGCTGAAGGACTTTTACCCAACCAGTCATCTGAATCTTTGGAAGAAAAATATGCAGTGAGAGCCTTTAAAGAAAAAAAAAAGGAAAAACAAAACCAGGTTTGTCTGAAAACAAGGTACAGACAGATCTCACCTACAGTCCTAATGTTCTTGACTGACAAACTTGCTGAAAACACAGGTGTCTTTCAATTCATAAAAATGTTACCTACACTACAATAACAATATTCTATCTTTGCCAAGCATCAGCCTTTGTGTTCCCAAAACCAAGAAAGAGGCCCCAAAAATCTCCTCTACAAATACCTGAAGTCTCCTGTTACTGCTGTTCCTGTTGTCACATGTGAGTTCTACAATATCCCCAACCGTTAATGCTACAAACTCAGTAAGTACAAAATACAATCAAAGTTTAATGCAGGTTCTCACTGGTGAAATCGGACATTTAATGAAATGGATTTATTTTCCACAAATACAAGGTATATGTATCTATATACACAGATTATAAAAATTACAAGCCACTTCACAAATAGCCTTGTAGAGAGCAGTGAGGTCCCCCCTGAGCCTCCCCTTCTCCACACTCAACAAGCCCAGTTCCCTCAGCCGTCCCTCAGCAGACATGTTTTCCAGAGCCTTCCCCAGCTCCGGTCCCTTCTCTGGACACGCTCCAGCCCCTCAAGGGCCTTTTGGCACTGAGGGGCCACAACTGGACACAGCACTCCAGGTGGGGCCTCCCCAGTGCCCAGCACAGAGGGGCAATCAGTTCTCTGCTCCTGCTGGCCACACTCTTCTCCACAAAGGCCACCATGCCCTTGGCCTTCTTGCCCCCCTGGGCACACTCTGCCTCATATCCAGCCCCTGTCAAGCAGCACCCCCAAGTCCCTTCCTGCTGAGCAGCTCTCCAGCCCCTCTGCCCCCAGCCTGGAGCGTTCCAGGGGGTTGTTGGGAGCCAAGGGCAGGCCCTGACACTTGGCCTTATTGATCCAGCCTGTCCAGATCCCTCTGCAGAGCCTTCCCGCCCTACAGCACATCCACACTCACACCCAGATCAGTCAGTCTCCCAAACAGGACAAACTCTGACCACCAGCAGTCCAGGGTGTCAGTTCTGCTGCCCCCTCCTTCCTCCACCCAGAATGGAAAACTCCATCATTTTGGGGTCTCTGTGCCCGTTGGCTTCAACCACCACATCCCCCACCAGTCACAGAATCATGGAATGGTTTGGGTTGGAAGGGACCTTAAAGAGCATCTCAGTCCAACCCCCTGCCATGGGCAGGGACACCTTCCACTAGACCCAGAGCTCAGAGCCCCATCCAGCCTGGCCGTGAACACTTCCAGGGATGGGGCAGCCAGAACTTCTCTGAGCAACCTGTGCCAGGATCTCACTACCATCACAGTCCAGAAATTCTTCCTAATATCCCATCTAACCCTGCCCTTTCTCAGTGTGAAGCCACTGCCCCTTGTCCTGTCACTCCAGGCACTTGTCCAAAGTCTCTCTCCATCTTTCTGGTTGGCTCCCTGAAGGGAAGCACTGCAAGGCCACAATTAGGTCACCCCAAAGCCTTCTTTTCTCCAGCCTCAACAATCCCAATTCTCTCAGCCTTTCCTCACAGCAGAGCTGTTCCATCCCTCTGATCCTCTTGCTGATCCCCTCTGGACTCGCTCCAACAGGTCCATGTCCCTGATGTGCTGGAGCCCAGAGCTGGAGGCAGCTCTGCGGGGGTGACAACATTACAGCCCTGTGTGTTCCAGCAAGGACACTGTGGAACCTCCTGGAGCCGAGGGGTCACTGTGAAACTCCAAGGCCTCATGAAATCAAAGGAACCCTGGGACACTGTGGAAACTCATGGAACCAAGGGTTCCTTGTGCCATGAAAGGCCTCATGGAACCAAAGGAGCCCTGAGACATTTCGGGCCCTCATAGAATCAAGGGGCCATTGTGACACTGAGGAACCTCGGGGACTCAAATACCACTGTGACACTGCAGGGTCTCATGGAACCAAAGGATTCCTGGGACACTGTGGAATCTCATGGAACCAAGGAGCCACTGTGACATGTGTGGCCTCCTAGAACCAAAGGAGTCCTGAGACATTTTGCAAACTCATGGAATCAAGGGTCCATTATCACACTACAGAGCTTTATGAAGCCAAATGGACCCTGTGACTCTGAGGAACCTCATGGAATCTAGTGGCCATTCCCACACTGTAAAACCTCATGGATACTGTCAGGTTCCCATTATTAAAAGACACCTCTGCCCAAATCCAACTGCAAAGGAGACCATGTGCCAAAGTCAGCAGTCCAGGTTTGATTTAACAGTAAATATGAGGTAGAGACAGAGAAAGTCAGTCCCAGTCCTGCTGCAGGACTGTCCAGGGACTGCAGGCAGGGACAGCCACGGGCACTGCTGGCACAGAGCTGACCTCTGCAGCAGCACTGCCATCCTGCAGGGGCATCTCCTCAGGCCAGGGCCTCAAAGCTTCCATCTGCGTTCCACTTTGCTCTCCAGGATGTGCCCAACACAACGCCCTGCAGAGGAAACCAGCAGTGACCAGCACAAGGGGGGGAGTGCTCAGGGTGGGGGCACCCAGCAGTGCCCTGGCACAGCCAGCGCCGCTCCCAGCACTGGCCTCTCACCCCAGGCCATTGGGCTTGTTCTTCCCTCCAAGGAGGGACAGCAAATGACCAGCTCAGGAGTCCATGTTTGCACTGCATGGACAGGACATGCCCATGTGTCACGGCTTGGGGCTGGGGGGTGGAAGGCTTAGACAAAGTTGATGGCAGAAGCCGTCTCGTTGAGCTACGAGGTGCACAAAGGACCCCCTTGCTTTCTAAATTCCTTCTCAGAGAGGAGCCTGGGGGTGGCTGGATCCAATCTCAGGCTCAGAGTTTGGTTTCAACCGAAGGAATTATAGAGGTGTGATTCAATCACTTTGTCCTGCAGGTTTTAGTGATGGCAAATCAGAAATATTTCTATAAAATGAATTGTTTATTATGACAAATGAACAGAAAATTGATCACACAATTGAATAGATGAAAGACCTTAAAGAGAATTATTTCCTGCACAGTATTAAAGCATAAACCTCCTAGTACTAGAGTGTACAATAGGACAGTGCAGTCTATCAAAGTAATTCTATTAAAGTATTAGATCAAAGCCAGCAAAAAGAAACAATCCTGAAGCAGAGATTGAGGTAACTCAACCCACAATGACAGGGGGTAGTTCTCTCTCTTTCACTTAACCTCTGGACAGTGACCATGAAGAGCTGTCCCTGCTTCATGGGACAAGCTCCATACACTTCAAAGAAGTCTGTGGAAGAATCTGCCACGTGACAGTTGGATGGGACTTTTATAGTTATCAAGGGTTTGACTGCCACATGTATTTCAAGGCCAGGGAGCAGCTCATCTGTCAAATCCTGCTTCAGAAAGCAGGATGTGTGTTTGAAGTTTCAGGAACCATTTAAGGTTTAGCATAATTAAACATTAAAATCAGCACCTTGACACCAGCAGGAACTCACTACAGAGAGCTTGCATTGTTTGCATTCTGACCAGTTTTTAGGTATTATCAGAGCAGAACATCCTGCCAGAAACGGCCCCTTGATTCCATGAGGTTGCAAAAACTCTCAGGGTTCCTTTGGCTCCATGAGGCCCTGCAGTGTCACAATGGACCCTTGGTTCCATGAGGTTCTGGAGTGTCACAATGGCCCTGATGATTTCATGAGTTTCCACTCTCTCTCCAGGATTCCTTTGGTTCCATGAGGCCCCTCACTGTCACAATGGCTCCTTGATTCCACGATGTTCCAAAACATCCCAGGGTTCCCTTGGCTCCAAGAAGCTCCCCAGTGTCCCACCGGCCCCTGGATTCCAGCAGGCCCTGCAGTGTCCCAATGGCCACTCGGTTCCACGAGCCACAGCGGCTGCCGCCGGCGTCTGTGCCCGGAGCCGCCGCTCCCACGGGGCTGCCACACTCACCGCCGGGGTTGCCGCTCGCGCAGCCGCCGCTCTGCCCCGGCTGCACCGGGACCCGGCACCGCCTCGGGCCTGCGCTGCCGCCTCAGCGGCCACAGGGCCACAGGGATGGGGGACCTTTGCTCTGACACTGATGGGGCCTGCCTTTGTTCTGCTGGGCTCTGGGCTTTAGGGAAATTGCTGTTCATTGTCATGCTCCACTGGAACACCTCCTGAATTCCAAAGGTTTCCTAATCCAGGGGAGGGGTTTCTATGGCATCGGAGGTGCCGCCCCTCGGGACACATTGTCAATAAACCATCCAGCTGATTTGGATGGGTTGGCCTGTGATCAGTCACTGCTTTGGGGAATGCTCTATTCTGGTTGAATGTTGCCCTATAACCTTTTGCCAAGCTCCCTTATTTTCTAAAGTTTGCCAGTAAAAGTGTCTTATTTGACCTCCTGAGAAAACGTGTGCAGTGTCTTCTTCCTTGTGGTCTCTCTCAAGGTATTAAAAGACCTGAAGGCCCTTTTAAAATATTTGGAGGGTGGAAATTTTTGATGCCTTTTATATTTTTCAAAGTAAAACCCCTTTGCTGAGCTCGTAGCTCAAACCTGGGGTCTTACAGTCACCATCCCTGGAAGTGTTCAAAAAACATTGAGCTGTGGCACTTGAGGACACAGTTTAGTGGTGAAGATGCCAGTGTTGGGTTAATGGTTGCACTCCATGATCTCAGAGGTCTTTTCCAACCTTAACAATTCTATGATTCTGTGGTGACTCAACCACTTCCCTGGACATTCTGTTCCAATGCTTGATAACCCTTAGCCATCCCTCTGATGCTGCAGCCAAGGAACAGACCAGTGATTTTCACAGTGTTCCTGGATGAAAAGATGTCCAAAGCCGAGGACATTTCCATCAGCACCTTCTCCTTTCTGCAGATCAGAGTCACCTGAAGCCTCCAGGCCCTCCATGGTGGCAGAGACCCCCCAGGCAGCAAAGCCCTGTCCTGCCAGGCTGCCCAGCCCAGCCCTGTGTCTCTCTGGCCCTGGGGACAGCAGGGTTTGCTCTCCTTGGGGCACCTACGTCCCTCTGCCATTGCCATCTGCCCC